GTTCTTCTTAGCATGAAGAGCAGCGATGGCCACATTATTAAACACACAGAAACCGTTCGCAGCGGAGCGCTGACTGTGGTGTCCTGGAGGCCTGAGGGTCACAAAAAGAGAACAAAAATTAATTACTAAAAACTAGAGATCGACATATTGTGTTGTCTAGTGAACAATACAGATTACTTTTCTATTTAAGTGTCCAATAACAAACATTTTTAACATCATTCAAATCATTAATTCATTACAAATATTTTATTTTACAAATAGTACATTTTTATAAATGTTCTTATCTATAAAATAATCATTATCAATAATAATAATAATAATAAATATTGAAATATATTATTAAATTAAAACATTAATACATTTGAACATTAAGTTCACTATTAAATTAAAATGTTGACTGTAAATGTTATTAAATATTAATATTAAATATGAGCAATGAAATATTCAAAGTACTAGTAGTAGTAGATAACAATAATGAATTATTCATTTAATACATTATTAATATTGTTAATACTAAAAAATAATATTAAAATGCACAATTAAATTCACTTTTAATTTAAAATAAGTTTAAAATGTATTTAATACTGTTATTATTTAATTTTAACATAATTACATATTAATAATAATAAAAAATGATGAAATTAAAATATTAAATGTATACATTATTAATATTTTTAATAATACCAATAACAACAACATATGAATTCATAACTAAATGTATTATTACATTAAAATTTATATTAAATATTACTAATATTTCATATTAATAATTACTGTAACAATTACTAAAAATTAATTAAATGTAGTTTTAAATGAATAACATTACATCTAAATATTATTACATATTATTTATATTGTTCATAATAATAATAACAACAATCATAATAATTTTAATTATGTTTTATTTTAGTTTCACTTTCGTTTTAGTTTAGTTTCAGACAAGCAGGTATTCCTGCTTCAAACTCACAGCCCCAGCAAAGCAAAGCAAATATGCTGGGCTGCTCAATCATACTGCAGTTCTGTTTAGTGGCCAGTGGGGAATATATCACACACTTCACCTTTAAATAGGCAGTCAATTAGGTGGACATCCAATCATGAAAGCAGCAGCTGTTGGTCGTGTGCTCACCTGACCAGTGCCATGCCGTTCCTGACCTCTCTCTTCACGACGCTGTCCACCAGCTGCAGTGTGGCGCCCACGGCCAGCTTAGCACAGTGATAGATGTTCTGCGCTCACATAAGAGTCGAGACTGTTGGGTAGCGTTCACATTGGCGGTCACCTGAACCCAGCGAGCATCAATGACCTGGACTTACCTGATGGAAATAAACGTCGCTGTACTGCTTCGAGAAAGCCATCAGCTCTTCCACGCTCATTTTCGGAGTCTGTTTAACGGCCTCCAGATATTCCTCACTAAAGTAAACACAAAAGATTTTGAGCCCGGACTCAATCATACAGCAACAAAAATGGGGCCTGGTTTAAACTCCACCAACCTGTGTGCGAGTAAAATCTCCTGCTCGGTGGCCTGGCGGACCGGCAGCTGTTTGCACCTCTGTGTCACGCCGTGAGTCTTCAGCGCTTCGTAAGACACGGTCACCCGCTCGGGCACCTCGATCTCACAGACTGGACTGGACGGAGCAACAACAAACAGATTTGATGTGAAAATAAAAAAACAGACAATGTTTATAATCATTTGATAAGAGTTCTGGGAGATTTCGACAGAATGGGAATCTGCCAAGCAGGCAATAATTTAAAAACTGACTAAAAAATCAGCTGATTTAAACAGTTTATCACTATCGGCAATGCAGTTATTAAATTATGCAAACGTAGTAAAACAGTGATAGCAATATTAGAAACTACTACTATTTTTTAATCGACTTAAATCTGCAATTATTACACTTTGGTTGCAATAATAAAACACATAATCTGTTGTTTATTTTGTATTATTGAAATTCAATATTATCAATTTGTTTTTATTTTTGTATTTTTCATTTTCATTTTCAAGTGAATTCAAGATTAAGACATTTTCAAGTTTTAGCAATTTGTTGTGTTTTGTCATTTTATTATTAGTTATTGTTTAGTTAGTTTTTATTCATTTTTATTTCAGTTTTAGTTATTTTAGTACAACAAGTTAAACTAATTGAAAATGAGCAATGTCGCTTTGGCAGCTAGCTGAAATAAAATAGAAGTTTGTTTTTCAGTTAGCGCTTATTTTATTTCTAGTAACCATTTTTTATGGTTTTACTTTAGGTCAACTATAGCAACACTGTTTTTCAGTAATAAAAAACAATTTCTGAAATCAATAGTTATGTTTATTTTATTTTTAGTATTGAAAATGCCCATTCCTGACTAGTACAAAATGCAAACCAAGTATATCACTGTATATTTTTATTATTTAATTATTGAGTCTCACATATCTCAACACATTTCAGAAATCAGTTTTTTAAAACTAACTGGACATGAAATCGCATTTAATTATACACCACAAAATAAGAAACCAACAAAAAATAGATATGAAAAACAAACAAACATTTTTTTTATAAAAAATTCACATATATCAAGTATGATCATTTTAACTCGTAAGGAATAATATGTAGATCTATATATGGGATCATGTAGTAACACTATGATTTTCACATTTTATTCACCATTTTATTTGCATATAAAACTATGACGTACTTCATTGAATGCTATGTACTATCCATAATATTATGTCTAAAACATAGACTGTATAAGGTCTAAAAACAACAGCATAACATGAGACTTTTGTAAGAGACGTACAGTAAGTGATGAGATGACTTACTCTTTCCAGAGGAGTTTATAACGGCTCATCTCCTCATCAAAGATCAGTGCGCTTCCTGACGCCATTTAAACACTCTGCTCTGGACTGCGACGAAAAACAATTTATTAATAACTGTAAATCATTGTAAATTACAATTTCAATCACGCACGGGAAAGCAGAACGGTTCAAAGTCCCTTCAAAGTTGTTGTTTCTTTTTCGTCGCTTCTTCTTCTTCTTCTTCTTCTAATTACGTTTTATGGCGGATGGCAAACCAACTTCTGGTGCATTTACCGCCACCAACTGGACTGGAGTGTGGAGCACTAATAAGCAACTAATATATACATATTTATATTTATCTATATTTTATATATAAAAAAAATAATAATAATAATAAAAAAAAACACACATTCCTAAATTCTCCTCATTAATCCTATTTCTTTAATGTATTTAACAATAGCATTTCTTAATCAGTTTTTTAATGTGCATTGCAAATGTCAATCTAGATTCCATCCAAGCACCGAGATATTTAACTACTGAGACTTGCTCAAGCTCCTGTTTGTACAACTTCAACTTAACCGTTGGAACATTTTTCCCTTTTGTGAAACATATAACTTGTGTTTTAGCCACAGATAATCTGAAGCTCCAATTATTTGCCCATACCTCCACTTTATCTACTGCTTTTTGTAATCTTTGAGACACACATGCAATATTACGTCCTCTTTTCCATATTGCCCCATCATCAGCAAATAATGCCCTTCCAACATCACCTTTAAAATTACTAAAAATATCATTAATCATAATATTTAAAAATATTGGGCTGCATACACTTCCTTGAGGAGTTCCATTGTCTATTGTGTATGTCTCAGAATACTCTACTCCTACCCTAACCTGTATTGTTCTTTCAAGAAGGAAATCCATAATCCAATTATATAACTTTCCTCCAATTTTTTTTTCGTCGCTCGGTGAACGCGGAGTATTTGACTGCGAGCGCATTACCGCCCCCTACCGGATGATCACGTGAACAACAACAATTACAATCTAAGCGTGATTTAAAAAAAATTACCAAATAAATAAAAATAAAACATAAATGCTACACGCAAAACGAAGCTACACTACCTATCTTTTGGAAGAGACTTATTTTCATTTATTTGAATTCTTTTGTAAAGCCTTGTGCAATGTTATTACTAACCATTTGCTTGTGCATTTTTCTTTTTTGTTAATGCAACGTGTTTTTTAAAAATACATTTATACAGTAATTCTGAATACAATGGGTATTTTAATGTCAGTCTTTTGCTGTTACTTGCCAAATTTCATATTCACCAAATTTGGATGTCTCTGCACTTCTCTGGGTCTTGCAATTATTCTTTTTTTTAAATACATGCTTAACACTCTCAGTAGATATATATTTGTTTTTAACAGTGTCCAACAACGTACAATTCACAAGCATCAGAGCAAAACTCTGTATGTTTTTTTCTGAAACCCATTAATATATTAAACACAACGTAATTTCCATGTCTCAAATGATGTGAATTTGAACCGTAACAATAATAAATAATGAAGACAAGGTAAAAATAGATTTCCAAGACAGTTTTAATGCATATTAGTTAACGCACACATACCTCATTGTCACGTGGTACCACTTACATTTATGCTCACTGTTAGGATGATGTGGTTAGGATGGACCTAAATGACAAAGCACAATTTTCTGATGACAGAATCACAATAAATAAAAACCTTTATATTTATTTTTAAAAAAGTGGCAAGTGTTAGAGCAAAATCATAAATAGAAAAGTATGAAATCAAAAAGAACAATGCTTAAAAACTGTCTACAAACATAATAATGTATATAAAAAGAGTAATAAAAGTGCAAAAATATAGAGTAAATCCATCCAAATACAACCTATTTGAAATTTTCAATGGCCCATATGAGAATTATTGCTCCTTTGTCCATATTTTTATTAACTATGGTTAATGCATCTGGTTAATGCATCTTTTACAGTATATGTTACTACATATACTGTATACTATATACTGTACTGTACTATTACTATATAAACACTGTAACTGCAATTAAGGAGTACAATTATTTGCAAAACTCTTACCATCAATCTAATTTACTCTCTCCATTATGGGACGATTTTTAAAGCACTTTTTGGTCGATTTTTGGACATTAACTGAATTTTAAGCAATAAAATATTCATATGACAAACACTGAAAGCTATAAACATTCATACTGATGATTTATGAAGTGAACAAATATATTGTTAAACAGTTATTTGTAGATCAGCAGCTTTTTGTTGGCAAAATATTCTGGCTTGGCACACATGCTGTTTTTATCCATTTGGGTCTGTTGTTGACGTAGTTAGAAAAGCCATGGTTTAAATTTATTAATATCATTCATATATATGCATACATATGTGTATGTATGTGTGTGTTTGGCAGTTATATGGCACTGCATGTAGAAACACTGACGTCTTCAGATTCCCAGAGTCTCTTTGGTCACCTGACATCCGAGCAGGACATTCCCCCCACACACACACTGAGACAGATCTCCCACTGAAACACACACACACACTCAAATCATCAGTGTGTGTCACAGAACTGAAGATATTTGCTCAAACGCCTCTTGATGAACGCTGACTGAATGAATGCGGTCTGGAATGGAGATCTCACCTTTCTGAGAGCCGATCCATGACGCTGCCTTCATGGCCACAAACTGCCACTCCACCTGCTGCTCTATTTTACAGCCGTATAACCAGATCAGAGCCAGGAGAGTGGCCCATACTGACCCATCCACCTGTGTACAAACCAGCATCCACTGCATTTGTTACTGGACACTGCACACAATCATCACTGTCTTATTACTTCATCACATCTCTCACCTGCGCTGGTTTCTGATTGGTCAGCTCATCCTCCGTCTTCCCAAACACATCAGCCAGCGTGGCGTCCAGATCCCAGCAGCCTGACGCCTTTTGGAGAAAAACCAGCTGCAGTAACAGGTCCTTCTGGAGCTCAGGAGCAGCTGAACACACTCACACAAACATACAAGAATAAATAAAAATCAATATATAATAATAATAAAATTAAATAAATAGCTATAAAACAATGTGAATTTTATGACCTACTACACTTGTCAAATGTATGTCAAATGAGTCAATTAACATCTTGTAAAGTGAAAAGCTACATGTTTGTAAGAAACAACTTCATCATCAAGGCGTTTTAACTTTAACCGTCACTTCTGGCCAAAATGAGTCCATAATCCATAATATCGCTTCCTCCAGTGATAAAGTCCATCACCTGTTGTCCTCTCACATCAAAATCCACTGACATATTTGTTTAAAACTGTTTTGGACTTTGGATCTGTGCATATTTCTCTCCTGATTCAGACGAGACGACTTTTAAGACGACTCGTATTTTAGCCGAAAACAAAGGTTTGAAGTTAAAAATGCCTTAATCGTGGGTTTGTCTCTTACAAACACACAGTTTTTCACTTCTCAAGATGTTAACTGATGGACTGGAGTGGTGTGGATTATTGTGATGTGTTTATCAGCTGTTTGGACTTTCATTCTGACGGCACCCATTCACTGCAGAGGATCCATTGGTGAGCAAGTGATGCAATGCTACATTTCTCCAAGTCTGATGAAGAAACACACTCATCTACATGTTAGATGGCATGAGGGTGAGTACATTTTCATTTTTAGGTGATCTATTCCTTTTTATACTGCACAGTTTTCAGTAACTAAGCTAGTACTTTCCAAACATAACTATTGTGTCCATCTCTTGTGTGTGTGTGTGTGTGTGTGTGTGTGTGTGTGTGTGTGTGTGTGTGTATGTACAGTATATGTATATGTATATGTATATATACAATCAATTTTGCTTTCAGAGTCTGTTTTATCAGACACGGCAGTCGCAGTCTTAGAACGACGGCGGAAAAAATTCTGGATCTCTGCAAATGAAAACAATGATCGTTAACCATGAGGTGATGCTGCATTTGTGTTTCACATTTAGTGAACTTTAGTGATGCTGTGTATTCATTGTGTTACTTGTCATGAATCCGATCCTCTGTTTGGGTGCAGTCACTGGAAAAAAAAAGAAAAGATCGCTCAAATGAAAACTATGTTTTTCTTACTCTTTTCAGAACAAGGCTTAACAGTAACAGACATTTTCACAGATATGAACATATTATGACTGTGAATGATTATTTGAACTGGTTACTTCTCTGCTTTTCCTTCACTATTTAAAAAAATGTATTTATATATATACACACACACATATACACACACACACACACACACACACACACACATACATATATATATATATATATATATATACAGTATCTCAAAACCTGCTGCAGCCGATCAAATGAGTTTAAGCCTGTCTTCCGCTTCGTTTTCAAGTCATGTGAAAGGGCCTTTCAGTGATTTATTCTCTACATCTGAGTATGCCTGGTTCTCTTACCTTCTGGTACCCAATTAGACATTTTTAAGACTGCTCGCTCTGTGAACGACATCATCTTTGAGCAGTGAAACAATTGTTCATCTGCATAAATGATCAAAACATTCAGACATTAATGTATATCAAAAGAAAACAAACAAACAAACAAACAAACACACACACACACAAACATACACATATATGTATATGTATGTGTATATATATATATATATATATATATATATATAAGCAAAACAAGCAAACAAACAAGAAAAGCTCCTTAAGACTTTGTTCTCTTACGTGCAGATAAACGAAACTCGCGGGGTGCTATGTGATCTGAAATAAAAAATAACACACAGAAAAATGTCATATACATTATCATAATACTTGTTTACGAACCTTAAGTTATGACAAGCATAAGTGTGTTTAAAGTTGTAGTGTAAATAATGAAAGGCAAGCGCGCAGGTCTACACAGAAACCAAACGATAAAGATGGCTCCAAAGACAACAAGACGCTGTACATCTTTGCATTGCCTTCCTTCTGATCCCAACATTAGGAAAGAGTGGATGAACTTTATTTTTAATGAAGCATCAGTAAGAACTCGGTCCTTTGTTCACTTCATTTTACAGAAGATTCGTTTACAAACAAGGCTCAATTTGACCTGGATTTACAGAAAGATTGAAACTAAAATACGATGCTGTGCCGACTATATTGGATCTGACAGTAATGTCGCAACACAAGTGTAAGTAACTGTTGCTATTGCACTATTGCTTTGTCTGTTATTACAGATCTTTTGGTATGTACTGAGTATTTATGTATTTTTAATCTAAATCACAGCAGCGTCCATCTGTGAAGGATGTTGGCTGTCAAACATACACAACTGCTAGCCAATCATAGCAGTGGGCATTTACTTCTGAGTCTACAATCCGCCACGCCTATTCAAACAGAGTTCTGATGAGGGGGGTTAAAAACAGGACAGAAAATAGCCTATTACTTCTAAATTATGTTTCTTGATGTAAAAATTTTGATAACATTATAAGTGGAACACAGAGAACAGTATACAATAATAATAAAAGGCAGTTCATGACCCCTTTAACACATAGTGGGATCAAATGTCCTAGAAGCAAATCTAAAATATAGCTGCAAGCAGCGATTACTGGGGTTCAAGCACTTAAAGGCCTTCATGGCTTCTATGCTGTCAGGGGTCTCAGCCAACGTGAAATGTATGGTTGACACCAGAACGCATCCATGACAGAGAATATGATGACACACACAGAATAACGAAAAGGTTGAACTATATTACTTAAGACACACTATGCATGTCCACACACACACAGACACACATTATGTTGTAGACATAGATTTTTTAAATAACTTACAGGTAATAAAATGCTTACTGGAAGTGTCCTGTTAATAATATTTTTTAGGTTTAAATTGAATTATGTGGCATAATTTTCAAAACTAGTATGTCTGTATAAATAAAGTGGTAAACTTTGACTAAATGTGATTTTAAATGTAATAATAATGATTTATTATCTGAATGTCAGTACCTAAGTAAAACCTGAGAAAAGAAATATATAAGTGACAGAAGGAGCCAATGAGTGATCCTTTGCTGCCATCTAGTGGTTATATTTGCACTTTCAGGGAATGCAGCATAGACATGTAGTGTTTTGAACCTTCATAACTGTTACAGTGTCAGTTTCTGTCCAATCTCCATAAAATTGTTGCATGAATGTTTAGAATCATATAATACATAAGTTTACATAGTTTTGTGATGTTTTGAGTTTTCTTTGAAGATTTATAGACTTTTGGGTACACTAGATCAAGACCACATTATGAAATGGCCCTGTTATAACTGTCCAAATGCAAATGTTCAACATTTTTTGATAATTATTGATCAAGAGAGTCCAGAGAATTGTACTGCACTGATTTGATTGATCTTGAGTATATAACCTACGACTAGTTCAGAAAAGTCGTTTTTTTTTTATAATCTCAAATGTTTAATGAACAGTTTGATTGAAAGCATTGGTCCCAGAGGCAAAGTTGTTCAGAATGAGGAGGTCTATTATATGATATTGTAACCGACTATAGTACAGTTACTATGTTGTTGTTTTTGTGTGTAGTTCTTCTACTGTGCTCCAGGGGGCCCTACCGGATTTTCTATGGTAAGGGATAAAATGGATGTAGGCAGTAGAGTAAGACACCTGTTTGGTTAAGCGGAAGCATGGCTTTCACTTACATAACCTTACCGCAAATGGAGTTCAGTTTGAGAAACTTAGGTTTTCAGCTCAATCAAGTAATTGTATCAGTTTATTCTGTGCTGTGTAAATTTGCACTTATTTTGTAAAAAATGTATCTAGTGGTGAAATTATGGGTTGTTGTTAAATGCTAATACTAGTTGTTTGTTTGTTTTGTAGAAGAACTCTTTTTGTTTCTGTCTTTCTGTTTTCTTCTTTACTTTGAATGCCTCATCAATGGACTAAGAAGTAACTTCATCAAAACTCTGTGCTCATCGAGGGACAAATCAACATCAAAGAATTGCAACGCACTCTATGTTTTGAGGAAACTCGGATTGCTGATTATTAATGCTGCTCTTGCTATCGGACTATTGGATTTTGTTAACTCCTATCATCATTGAGGACTTCAGTATTCGGATTCAGTGCTTGTTTCGGTTTAGAGACGAGTACTCATTCAACCAGATAAGTTTTTCTGTCCTTTATTTTGATAAATGATAAATGCGACGGTTTGTTTTGTAGTCAAAAAGACTTTATTGACTGTTTTTCATACACATGCCGTAATGATCTGTGGATTGCCTTTATTTATATAAACATTTTGTAATGCACTACTGTGTTATGTGTCGTTTTCAGTTGAGGGACCCTCCCCTAAATTATTTTGTGATTTTGCCCAGTTGAAAAATTTCACTGGGATGGTTACAAATTGGCGCCCGAACAGGGACCCTCAGCTTTGAAAACACACAGGTGTAGAAAAAAATCAGTTTGGTAAGCAGTCTTAGTTCATTATTGTAGTTTTTTTTTACCGTCATCTGCTATGGATAAAGATGAGTGCATTGGTGGCATGGATTTTTCATCTGAGACATTCACAACCAGAAGAGAACCGATGAGAGAACTGATAAACACATTTAGTGATTTATATATTGATTCTGATGAAGACAGCGAGCAAGTAGAGCATAATGTTCATGTGGACGATTTATGTTTCCCTCCTCCGCCACCACCATTAGAGGTGAATGAAGACGTCAGCCCCAACTGTGAAACAACTTTAATGGAATGTCTCACTGAGATTGAAAACCAAATGGCTAACATCGATCGAAGGGTGAGTGAGCAAGTTTCTTTTGATGCGTTTGATGTGCAGTGTAAAAAATTGGAAGAAAAGATGGCTTATCATGTCCGACGTGAATGTGAAAGAGTCCAGCAACAGATGGAGCTGATGGTTAAGGACTTGGGTCAATCGATTGTTGATTGTTTAAAGAGAAGAGACCAGCAATTTGATTTCAGTTACTGAGCCCAAATTCTTCTACTCCAAGAGTTCCTAAAGTAAATGTTCCAGTAAATGCTTCCCACTCTCCAATTCATAATACGACTAGTAGTGTTTCCATTCAAAATAACCCTTCTACCATTCAGTATAACCCACCTGTAAAGATGGACTTCCCCAGTTTCACGAATGCAGTTGAGGATGATCCTGTTTTGTTTGTGGAGCGCTGTGAAGGATATTTCGAAGTTCGACCCCTCAGTGATGAAGAAGTAATTGCTGCTCTCACTGCTGTTTTAAGAGGCACTGCTAAAGATAGCAGAAAGGAAAAATGTAACAAGTTGGAAACAGTTCAAAGAGAAGTTTCTCCTTTCGTTTTTAAGTGAGGATTACCAGGATGTGGCTGCAAGAAAGCTTGTTGAAAGAAAACAAGGCCCTAAGGCTGCTCTCACTGCTGTTTTAAGAGGCACTGCTAAAGATAGCAGAAAGGAAAAATGTAACAAGTTGGAAACAGTTCAAAGAGAAGTTTCTGCTTTCGTTTTTAAGTGAGGATTACCAGGATGTGGCTGCAAGAAAGCTTGCTGAAAGAAAACAAGGCCCTAAGGAAAGTTTGAGAGATTTTGCTTATCACTATAGTGCCCTGTGTTTGAGATGGAAAAAGGACATGACCGAGAAGGAATTGATTCAAGCCATTCTAAGGAACTGCAATCCACGGTTAGCCAGTTTACTTCGTGGGACGGTTAAAAATGTGGGAGAATTAGTGCAACTTGGAACCCAAATTGAGAAGGATTTCAATGAGTCAAAGAGGTATTGGAGCCAAGTCAACAGTGAAGAGCAGAAGAAGAAATCTCCAGTTCCTCCAGATTTCCAACGCAAATCCTCACAGGGTGCCAATCGAGTCGTGTTGCTGGATCAGAGTTCAGATGCTCATGATGTTAAAAACATCGCCATTCCGTTAATACTCCGGAACAGCTACAGTGGTGTGAACAAGTGTTGGCCCCCTTCCTGATTTCTTATTTTTTTGCATGTTTGTCACACTTTTAATGTTTCAGATCATCAAACAAATTTAAATATTAGTAAAAGATAACACAAGTGAACACAACATGCAGTTTTTAAATGAAGGTTTTTATTATTAAGGGAAAACAAAATCCAAAACTACATGGCCCTGTGTGAA